TCTCTCTCTCTCTCTCTCTCTCTCTCTCTCTCTCTCTCTCTCTCTCTCTCTCTCTCTCTCTCTCTCTCTCTCTCTCTCTGTGTGTGTGTGTGTGTTCTACGTTACCCATGGCGCAAAACGCCATGCACCTCACAGCAAGCTGCGATACGAAATTCTTTTCTTCTTTCCTTTTTCTTGTCACAGTCTCAAACAACTGCACAAAAGGGAAGATAAGTTTTCTTTCCACTTTTTTATTTTTGTCATTTGAATTATATACTGCCCGGTAAACCGTAGGCAGAGAGGGAGAAGAGGACAACAAACGAGGGGCTTGTGACATTATATTTCCGCGCTTGGAGAAGTTGATTAGGTTGCTTACACGATGTTCACCCCGAGGAGTATGTTTGTCCATCTCCGTCGCTGCGACAGATCAGGTTTGTTCGGCGACGAGCTGCGGCGTTTGGGTCCAGAGTCACTTCCTCCCTCTCCTTCTTCTTCTGCTGCTGCTGCTCCTCCGGCTCTTGCTTTACGCATCTTTTTCTCAACTCCATCACCAAGATCCCCTACTGGGCCCGCCAAGGTCAGGACCAGACCTCCTGCCAAACAGACTCCTTTTCCAACTGGACCATTGAGAACCGTCCCCGCCACTTTACGCATTCCCAAACGCAAGCCCAGGCCGGATCCAAGCCACACTGTGCCCCATTCACAAATGCCGAAGCTAAGAGCACCCTTTTCACCTGGCAGCCGCGACCCGCAGCTGCTTAGACCAAGGCGCCGTCCTGCCCTCCTGTGGCATCCTCGCGAAGAGCTAGAGCACAAGGAACCCCCCTCCCCCCCCCCCCCAACACATTCCAGTCCCCCCTTTACTAGTTCTACCAAGCTACAGCCTGACGCTTCACATGCCAATGCTCGCTGGATAAAGTGATGACGAGCGTTTCCTCGGTGTCTCCATAGCTGCAACTGTCGTCCGTTCGCCGAAGACTGGTCGAGCTTCATCTGCCAGCAAAATATATGATGTTGTCAACAACCACCGAGAATCATCTCAGTAGACAGACCTGTTGGTCGCACGTCCGCAACACTGATTTTTGCAATATTAACACATTATTAGTAATTTATAACTGAAAACTATGAGAAAAAAGAGGGGGTCAGGGAGGAGGGAGAAAGGGGGAGAGGAGGGGGGGGGGGGGGGGGGGGATAGAACTGACGAAAGACTAAACTTCCACAGAGA